TTTTTGCAGCTCTTCTTCACTATCCGCCAGGAGCACTACAAGCAAATCGGCAAACAAAATTTTCCATGGAACGCCATTTCTCCATCCTTCGCTGATCATCTCCAGCACGATGACGAATAAGAAAGGACTCAGAGCTGATCCTTGGTGTAAACCTACATAAATGTTGAACTTTTCCGTTTTTTCATATAGTGTTCTGGCTTTGTCTAACGTTGCCCTACTAGTTTGACCAATTTCTATGGTATATTTCTTTTCCTTAAGCACCATTATACCGACTATCTCGGAATTCGATCGTAGGCCTTCTCTAGATCCAGAAAACGGAGGTAGGTCTTTCTTCATTTCCCAATACTTTTCCTGCAGTTGCTTTATGATGAAAATCGCATAGGTTGTTCCCCTTCCTCTAATGAATCCCATCTGCATATTATTGATCTCGTCGATTTCTCTTAACCTTTGGTTTAAAACCCTCTCCAAGATTTTCATTAACTGCTCTAGTAATTTTATTCCTCTGGAATTTCCGCAGTTCATTGGATACTTTTTCACTTGTAAATTGGCCCTATTACACTCGTCTCCCGTTCTTCTGGTATCTTTCCTTCTCCAACATACTTTCTAGAATGATCTGCATCATTTCGATGCCATCTCTTCATCCAATGTCTTAATCAACTCAATCGTCACACCTGAGCAACCTGCAGTTTTTCCTGATTACATGCTCTCAATTGCTGTCCTGGTGACTAGTTACCCGAATTCAAATCAACGCGATTGACTACGAGTCTCATGTGGAAGCATAAAATTTAGAGAGTTCACGTTGCCTTGCTCAAGGAAAATTTTTTCACTTTGCTTTAATTAGTATACAGCGCTTATTTCTAACTTTACAGTTGTTCTAACTAGAAATTGTTTGATAGCATATAATTTCATCTTGCAGTCGATGTTGTTTCTCTTCTGTTTTAAATGGATGCTGGTTTTCGCAATTGATTGATTCCTTTAAGGACCCCAAAGCAATTTTTGACATAAAATGTACACAGACAGAGAGTGGGAAGAGTGGGACTAGTTTTTTTGCATTAGCCAAATATGAGAATTTGTGATAAACGACTTCAGGCAACGTAACAAAACCCTTTGTCCTTCCTGGACTAAGGGGGAAAGCGTTAAGGTACGAAAATTACCTGGATGTTTTCAATTATTTGAAATTCACTGGTTAACAAGAGATTTGTGGCCGTCAAATCATTCCATGCAGATGTAATAGAAAACCAGGAAGTCTGGTAACAACTAATTTTGCAACCACGGGCAAATTATCAGGAATTCCTTGTAAAAGATGAATGGTATGAAGTCAATGTCAAGAGGCAGAGGTTTCGATGAATTAAGTAGACAATTTATGACTAAAGGTCAACAAAAGTGGCTCCATGTTGTGAAAATTATGATAGTGTCCAAGAAGAATACAAAATGGCGGTCATGCAGGAAAGAGCCTATCTTAAGACCTGACAATACCTTAAAATTCATCGAAGAAACCCATTCTCTGAGAGATAGACAGGCTTGTTACACTAAAAGAACCTCCATTTCATTCTTACATCTTACATAACGCTCTTATCGTAAGTTTTCGAATAAGCCCCCAACTTCGAATAAGACCAAGTTCCTCACACTAAAGTAATTCTCGTGCAATAGGCCCCCATCCTCGAATATTCCTCCATGGGTTGAGGTGTTATCTTGACAGCAATAATTGCCTTGTATTTTGAGGGAATGTCTTGCATTTAAAGCATACTGATCACCTCGAGTTATGGAAGAAAATTTACCCTTATAATTTTTTCGGCTGTTGCTAAATAAGCCCCCTTTCCAAAATATCGAAAGTGGTAATTATCATGAAAGGCATATTTCACGAGGATTACATTAGTCCGGGGACTCATGGTACCTCCATACGCCAGTAACACATTCATTAACGGACCGTTCAATCTGAAGCTACCTAAACTTGCGCAAAAAGATTGTTAAGGAATTGTGTATGCTCAGTATGACGGTATTTTCATAATATCTAGATGTAATAATTGTCTTTAGGATTTGATTTGATGAATAGGTCAGAAATAACTATGAAAGACTCCAATAAAACGACAAAATGACAAAGCAGATTGGAAATGAGTACATTGGCAGTTTTAAGGGGTTCAGGGCCACAGGCCACGCACTTGTGGTGGCTAGAAGAAGCTGGGACAATGATTACGTTAGCAAGGTCGGTGACATTTCCATGTAAAAAGCTTTGTTGACTCATTTATCCTTTGGTTACCATTCGATAAAAATATTCTCATCATCAACGTGGGCACGATGGAATAGAAGACAGTACTTTATTAAGGACGTTTTGTGCTATTCTGAACGATGCTGCTTTAGAAAGCGTAAGTTCGGCTTCCTTAAGCCCCCTAAAACAAGTACCTACTAACTGCTCATTCACCCAATCTACCTTGAAGTATTAAATTCATGACACATTAAGATGGGGGTTTCAACCTCTAACTGTTGTTACGTACTCACCAGCCGCTCGACCCTCGACTGAAATCTATAAAAAAAGGCCATCTGATGAATTATCTTCGGTAAAAAGGTGTTTTCTGACAGTAAAAAGGGCGTGGCCTTCTGTTGTATATTTGCCCCCTACCCCCACCCCACCTGCCAAAGCCTAATGGCTGGCGTCGCCATTGAACAAAAGCATGTTTGACATTGCAATCGGCCAACAACAACAATACAAGGCTAGGTGTATATCGAAATGGTCAGTGTTTTTATCATTTTACACAATTTTCAATAACAAAGATACGGAAATTTTGTATGCCATAGACACTGATATCAAAATACAACCTACAGCTAGGAACAAAGTTATTTTAAATGATGGAAGACTGTCACTGAATAGATGTGGCGACGACGTTAACTTTCCGGATATAGACAACCAAATTTCATATTTGCTGCCATCTTATCTAGCAAAAACCTATTTCGTGATTGTCAAAACAAAGTTTGTGATACGACCTTCGAAATTTGGTTAGCCAGTGCTATTGTATTGAACGAACTGGGTTCATTGCAGTAGTTTTTCATATGAAAAAGGAATGTGTTATCAAAGCTTACGATCAAAAACAATTAAATCAGGCCACCTTGGGTCCACAAGCCTTGTTCGCTTCTGTACAGAATATTACCTATCTTGCGTCACTTTGTTTTTTGAGAATGAGAATGGTTTGCAATTGTGTCGATCAAAAGCCGCAATCATAAAATACGCGAAAAATTCTTAAAAGTAGCGTGGAATAGAGCTGGGGCATCTTGAGCAAAGTCTTTTGAACTGATGGCAAATGATAGCAGATATATTTACTTTGGGACTTTGAATGACCACAACGATATTTTAACTATTCTTCAAACCTATTTCAGTATAGATACACAATATTTTCTACTTGCAAATGATTTTAACCATTAGTTGAAGCATTGGTTATGCCTCAGATACCTTTGACTTATAAGGGGTACGAATGGCTCCCATGTCATAATTGAATCTTTCAGAAACGTTCAAAGAGTAATAAGGGAGGTCTTTCGTAATCAATGGAAGGAAAAGCCAATTACATGGGATTGCTCTATGATAAAAACTTTTATACACTAATTCTAACAATTTTAAAAAACATAACAAATAAGATAATCCCTTTATGCAACGTGTTTATAAAATAGTTAATTTCGTTTTGCCTATTTGGGGAAATCGCGATATTCTCGTCAGGTTTTGAATACCCCTATCAGTAAATACAGGTTAAATTCTATGAGAAAACTGGCAAGAGCACTATTGATCGCAGCCGACTTGATGATACAGGACAGGAAGACAAGTTTAATATTGCGAAAACACAAACATATTTTTATTTGTATCTGCTCAGGTCCCAGTAGTGCAGTTAAATACGTGCAAGATCATTGAAAATTCTTTTGGACGCTCAAATAGAGAGGCGACAGTTCAGCTAAATTATAGTACATCATGTGTTAACATTCATTGAAAAGAACTTAACAAAATTAATCAATAACAACTGTCGTGGTTTATTGCGGTGCCCCGATTCACCTACACATATTTTATAAGAATGTCTTAACATTTGCTTAGCTTCTATATCCTTAAAAATTAGTGACCTAAGCAGCATAGAATCATTCTTAAATCATTCTTAAGTGACACAACGTGTGAATTGGAAAATGATCCACGAAAAAGTAAAATCTTTGCTGCTCTGCTTTCATCATGAAAAAATTTTCAGATGAGTGAACCTCGACTTATTACTTGAAAGTTGCGCTTGTCCTGTTTGCTCATAACACTCATTAAGTAATGTGGTCGACGAAATTCGAGCTTTGCAATTATTTTTATTTAATCCTAAAATTTCGCAAATTACTTACGAAAATAAAAGTTTGTATCTAAAACACGATAGATGGGCCAAGCATTGCAGTTTGCTAAAAAGGCATACCTATCTAAGAGATTTCTCCCATTTCCGAAAAAAATTAATCAAAAGGCGCGACTTAACACAAATTAAGTAAAACTTTATACTATAATATCCCACAACAAAAATAAACAAAAGGAATGAAAATTGAAAAGAATCTATTCCCTGCAACAAACGCTGCATTTCAACAAAAACAGCACGAGAGTGCGACTGCCACAAGATTATGTCATTGTATTCTTTGTTGAAATATGATCGCGAAGAATGTGTTTCTGAACCCAGTTAACACATTATTCCAAGGTTTTTGGTACAAGAAAGGGCAAAGTCTGACAATAAATTCAGGGCGAATATTTTGCTAAGCTAAACAACAGATTTAATCCCTACCTATTTCTCTAAAACCTTACCTGAAATGGGTATTTTTATCAACGAAACGTCTGATAAATAAGAAAAAATCTTTTGCGTAATCCTCGTCGACCAAAAAGAAAAACATTGCAAGAACGGGTCAATTGTGCTTGAAACTTAGAAATTATTCTAAGATAATTATTGGCAGATAAAAGGGTAGAAGGAAACTGTGCCTACACGCTACGTGTTTAATGATAAAAACGAACATACCTGAAAAGCAGACCAACAAAATGAACAGCGTGTTTCGTAAAAATGAAATTCTTGGGACAGTGTCCTGAGCGACGAGAATGTCCATGCTTCTTCGAAACCGCTTTGCATCTACTTTAAATAGCAGTTCTGAAAACTCAGCGACTGGAAAAAGATCATAGGCAATTAATTAAAACTGTCTGGAAATAAGTACGCATGATTAATAAACATGGCATGTGAATGCAACTTGTAGCAATTCAAAAAGTTACGTTACCCTTAATTTGTTGCTGCAATTCACATTAAATAGCTGGTGTTAAAGACTATCTGCAACAATCTGCCCATATGCATTTCGCACGCTAGCCACTGACAAAGCTTCAAATATCAAAGCAAAGACCTGTACGAGTAGCCCTTTAATTTTACCGCCCAAACAAAAGAGCCATCTCTGAGTACAAATTCAAGCGTGTCGCCTGGCTAACCAATGTTGTCACTCAAAACAGTCGCAAACGGGCTCTCCTACCCAGTTACCTCCTCCGTGCATCCCATGCCTTCACTACGCCCAACACAGAAGCCAAGTGACTGAAGCTGAAAAGGTTCACGTTACACCAGAACAACCAGGAAACTGTTCTTAAAGTTGAAGTAAAACGCCAAAGGAGTTAATCGTTAAACATCAAGCCCAAATATTTAGCAGCTGATAGGATGGGATCATCTCGTTGAATGATTAACAGTAAGATGAAACCTCGAAGCAAAAGTATGTTGCTCAGAGATGTGTTTGCAGAAGCACTTCAAGCTTGCTAATTTAACGTAAAGTCGATTCGTGTTACACTGCTGGTTGGAAGTAAAATAGTTCCATCGTTTTTGGAGACTGGCTCAAATTGGTAATCGTGCCCACCTCATTGTTCATGGAGATTGATCTTTTAATTCCTACAAATCTGTTGTAATTCCTTCAATAAGTTGTCCAATAGCGAGGTTTAGAACCAGATTCAAAAATGATAAGGCACGATTTCAATTTATAATTCTTCCTTGAAAATATCTTCATAGTGCCTGGCTTTCACAATATATCTAGCTGATGTACATCGATCTACATATCAAAATAACCAAGAAATCATATTCAACAGACATCCCCTGTTAGTGTGTTTCATGCTAGCGAGCTATATGGATTGTCGATAATTTTTTCTTACAAATTAAAAATTTAGACCTTGTTCACCTCAGCCCTCAACATGATACACAACTAAGTATGAAAAGAAACAAGTATTTTGTTCGACTCGCAACGTAAATGAATGAAGTTTCTAACATTAATAAGAACAGATTTAATGACAAATAGATTGCTTCAATGTATGCACAAAATGAGAGTCATTAAGCTTTAATTGTACCACAGAAAAACAATTCACTTCGTATGCATTATAACAAAGCATTATTTGCTTACAACGAGGATATTTTCACATGAAAAGATTAAATTCATCGAGCATGTCTACAGTTCTTCAATATGACGACCAGGTATTTCCCAAAATTCATAAACCACCTAACGACATAAACTAGGACAGTCAGGGCCTCGCATCATTGGCTCTGAATGGCAATTTGAGATTGAATTGTATGTAATCAATAAGACAAAGGCAGGCTGTAACATTGGTCTATCACATTATTAGATTTCAAGTTGATCCCATGTCTATTTTAGCAAAATATTAAGATATTTAGAATTGGTTGTTAAAATTGTTTTATGGCTGATTCTGGTTTTTATACTGCCATCTTCCCGTCATCAATACCTGGGTCTGACTGTGTAGCAATTGACTGAGTACCCTAATCTAAACAGCTCAAAAAAAATTTTTCTCAGGGCATCCAGATACTTTCAAAAAATGCGCCATCAACATGAAAACTGCTCAATGAATCGGTTAAACCCAGTAGCATCAATCAGAGCTTACGAGCGTGGCATTAAGGACACGATAACGTATAATTATAGACGTTTTTTGTGAAGATTAGTGAGAAAAAGTAAAGAAAAAGTTTAACTTGGCTAATGGTAAATTATTCTGAGCCTACCGCAAATTCTGTGCTAAGCCCCACCTTTATTAAGGCAATCTTCAACGATAATGCTTTTTTTCCTCTCTGGAAAATTGAATGGATCTTCTTTGGGCTCATAGGATATTGGTCTGGTGCAAAATGATCATCACTTTGGAAACATAACGTCAACATTAATCTAGATATTTAAACAAAGCTAAACAAATTATGATAGCTTTTTCTTGAAAATTGGATATCGAAATGATTGTATCCAAAACGATTTTAGAGCAATGAATCGGAGAGTTTACACGAAATCTCATAAGACGGCGCCTTTTATATAAAATGAGGGGTTTATCATACTGTAGATGGATATTATCTAAGATGCACTAGAGGACTAAGCAAAATTCATCCTTTAATTTTTAAGTTAACATTTAAAAGCCTTGGTGAGACCGCTTGCAGGATAACGGGATCACCTTAGTTATCGAAAGATTTTTCATGGTCACATGATGAGACTAAGCTCAATATGTACGATAGTCAGGAAGGCTCCCTTGCAGAAAGCCTGGATGACTAAGCTAATTGCTGTGGTAAACATTTGGCGTTACCCAATGTTTGGCCAAATGTAAAAACAGTGGCTTTATCCAGTAATAAAGAACCCATAGAGCCTTAAACAAAATATAAGCATTGTTATCATAAGACGAGTGTAACCTCAGCTTTAAAAAGGCTGCTGGGAACCTATTTGTGCTATTTTTAGCTTTGTGTGAATTTTCAGGGTAGATTCACACTGAATAGATTCACAAACAAGGTGCGTCTTTTTCAACGCTATGGGAAGGTACGTTCTTCTAGCTTAGGTCCGTAGTTTTTCTCCAAAGAAATCAACAATGCGTCGTTTTTATGTATCCATCGAATTCAACAAGAATAGATTCTCAACTAAAAACCGAGTTGCTGCAGCAGGCTACTCTACCCTTATATACTGTTTAACAAAAAATTTCTAGAATATCCTAGTACAACATCACGTGTGTAAAAAATACAATTTAGAATAAGCAAGTTACAGTATACCATGTTACGTAAGGCTTACTCTAGAAGTCTCTACAATTATTTTTAGTCAATTTTTCTAGCGTGTTGTACTTGTTAGCATTATTAAGAAATCACTCGAAAGGTCCAGTTCACCACACACTTTCACACTGCAAAAAGTATTCCAAACTACTGGCGTTTTTTAATGACTTGCTTCGTTTTTCTATCGAAACATAATGACAATGGCTGAACTGATCCTGAGGGTTTCGTTTTTGGCCTTTGTATCAAGTAATAAACTGGTGGTTTCCCAGGCTTTTTGCTTGGTGAAACAGTATTGTCACCTAATGTAAAACCTTTTTCTATTGGCAAACTGATGTGGTGACTCAATTTGCTTTAATACTCCTTGCTCTTCTTCCTTGCGTCAGGAACTATCCGTGGTTTTGCCTTAAGCTTGACAGTTAGAGAGTGCCCTGTAATGCATGATTGGTTGTGACACGACAAATTAATAAATTCAAATATTGGAAATATTTTATTTGGCTAAAAAAACGGAGAGCATCGATCCTTTATATCTGAGTAGGATTATAACCCATAGAAATGTGGATTTTCACATAATAACATTGCGGAGAAAGATAAACCAATCCAGTTTCAACAAGTTGATCCCAAAAAACACTAATTTCTTACATTAGTTGTGAATTACATATCTGTGATGTCAACGAAGAATGACAAAGTTATTTGGCACAGGGTCGTTTAAAGTTGGTTGATGTGAGTATTCTTAGTCCGAATCGGGGGTATATGACCAGCTCAACTGGATAAAAACTCTTTCTTGCAATATCGTGCTGTCTTGTCCTTTATGTTCCAAAAAATAATTTATATTGATATATAATACTTGGGTGAAGTAAAAAGTCATTATAATGGCATTTGGGAAGACAAATGTCGAAGACAAAGAAATACGAGACATTTTGTAATCAAAATAAATGAAAAATACTTGAGTTGCTGTTATGATGGTCAGACATTGTTATGATGTTTCTTATGAAATTAAGAAACAAAATATTTTTCCAAATTGAAAGGATGATAGCAAACACACCATCCCCGACAGCTGTTGTATCTTTTATTGATGAAGCGGTTCATAAAATGTCTTCAGGTCGACATTAGGTATTTAACTAGAGCAATAGAATTTTTTCAGGAAGATGAACTTGGTTCTAGACGGCTCTCCCAGTTACCGAACAGGTTTCGTGGTATGCCGCTCAACAAAAAACCCTCAGAAGCACCACTAGTAAGATCGGGGTACAGCGTCTTCACGTTCAAGCGCATCAAGCACAAACCACTGAAATTTTAATTATGCATACAAAGGAACCTTCGGTTCAATAACTATGATTCCGTTAGTATCAAGGTTTTTCCGCAATAGCCACATCAGCCGTTATTGTTTGCCATTTTATTTAAATCATCAAAAATCCGGATTTCATAAAGCTAGAAAAGAGGACACAAAAATTGCAAGCAGAACTATCAATTGCAATGATGCCATCATAGGGCTACAATCCTTGAATTTGCATCTATTGACGTTATCATCCATTGTGTGTGAAAATGTTTTGTAATTTTGAGTTTTCCCAGCATTGTGAGCCTCGATTCTTTAAATTGCAATGGACAGAGCACCATCAATCGTTGTGGTTGATTTTTTAGATTTAAGACATAATACAGATTATTTCAAAAATTTTTCCCAAACTTCGTTTTAGCCACATGAATTCACAGAAAGATTATCCTCGAAAAAAATTTAAAAGACAATCACATAAAGCCGCGCCCTTTTAACCACCAGGAAACGCCCTTTTATCAATATGGAACGCCAATTTTATCTGGAGAGAAAGCCGGATAACTAACTTTGACTAACTTTGGGTTACGTAAAGGCAGTTTGAAAATTATAGGATTACATCACAAAAAGTACAATGCCAAATATTACCCTCTACCCAAAATTTTGTCGTCGAATTTAGATGAAATACAAAATTGATCCTGCTGAGAACTTGGGGGGGGGGAGGAGACGTGTCCGCTTCTACTGCAATCACAAACATTAAGATCGAAACGTCATTAATAATTCAAACGAATCAGCCTTTTCGTCACAATGTATGCAAGTAAAACAATGTATGAAAATCCATATTCTCTATGCAAAATGAACTTGTTACTGTTGATTCTAAAGAAAGTTGCGAAAATTAGTTAATTTTCGAGTAATTTTAGGCAGATTTTCGGTAAATTAATCCTTGCAAAAACGTTTTCTTGTATTTAAAACCCAATAAAAAGGTTAAGCTAAGCTTGAGAAACCGAAAACCTTTGAAAATATCGAAATTGAGCTTAGTTTTTACTTAAAAACAATGTTAATGTAACATTGAATAAAACATTCTAAAAAACGTATGAAATTATAGTAGTATTAATTCACGTTTTAAAGAGCATGAATTATGAAAAGCTAAGTAGTTTAGAATCATAATCCAATGGAACATATCTTCTTTG